GTTTAACAATGCAAATGATATATGAAGCTAACGGTTGAAAGACTCGTCAAAGGAAAAGTAGGTTGAACATAATACGACGAGGATCACGAAAATAATGAACAATTACCAAGTGTTCATACAAACGGAAATTGAACGTTTCGATGGAAACGTGACCTAATCAAGACCTAATCATAGCAACCACTTCTTTATTGCGAAATAAACATGATAATGTGTGATAATGGGAATAAGTAATGGAAAAATTGCCAAGAAAAATTTTATTATACAAAATTTGCCACTATTTGCGGACAAGCCACACGCGAGCCTTCAGGCGAAATGGGTTACAGATCAATATTCAAAAATACAAATATACGCGAAGTGATCACGGTCGAGGGACTCGGAACAGAATTAATGCAGAATAAAATGAAATAAAACTGCTCAACAGAGTGTATGAAGCGGCGAGGTTCATTATGCATTCCCGGCAATGTATGTGTGTATGTACACGTGCGAGGATTTTCCATGGAATATATAACACCGAACGTCGGGGGCAGGTCACTACGTCCAATCCAGGAGGAGTTCACGGCGAACCGACAAAATGTTCGTCCGTTTAAAAAAGGAGAACGGAGAAACGAGAAGCCGTTCTCCAGGAAGAACCCCGGATTCTTTCGACTTTCCCTTCCCCCTTTCGTCCGCCGTCCTCTTTTCACGCGAATGCTTCGCAAGCTCGCGATATTACATCGGCCAGCCCCCTCCGGCCGAACGAGCGAAGAAAACCTGATGCCGGCGACCCGAAAATTGAACGCTGTAACCAATCAGCGGTGTAATACCATCTCGCGCAATACTTTGCTCGATAAATCGTGTAATCGATAGCATCCGGAGATCTCCGACTGTTCATCCGAGTAATCTTACTTCCGTTTCAATCAGATTGATTATCCTCTGAAAGTATGGAGGGATATAAAATCATCGTCTGCGAGAGTTTATAGATCTTGCGATTGTACACAGGATCTTCCGAGGTTTTCCTAAACATTCCGTAAAATTGTATTCTTCGAGAAATATATGCAACGAAAATGGAAAGTTAACTTCATGTTTCTGAAAATCGATAAGATTCCAAGTTTCGCTGCAAGGAGAAAACGAGGTTTCCAAAATTGACCCTTAACGGACCCGAAGTATTCCAAGTTGATGAAAAATATCGTAATGTAGATAACAAGCGGAAATTTATAGAAGTGACCTAGCACAATACTTAACGTGTTAATTGCAAATATTGCAAGAGTGATGATAGTAAACTGATATTCACCACCATATACACATCGTAACTACTAAATAAACCTACCATGCATTTGTCTATTACTCCATTAACCCTTTGCGGACAAATGTCGACATTTGCAAACAAATGATTTTATTAGTCAGACAACAAGAGATCAGCACGTAGTTTCCTTTTTCCTATTAATTAAGCAATCGATATATAATTTACCTTCATCTGCCGAAGGTTTTGGACATTCCGAAGAATCTTCGCAAACGGTTAACGGTTAAATTCCAGTTCAAAATCAAACAAAGATCAAAGCACCCCGAGACCACACACAACAAAGACAGAATCATTCAAACTTCAATCACCCAAAAATCCACGAATTTCCATCGAACATCAGCAAAAGAAAACACTTAACACGTTGACTGCCACAGGATTTTGCCGAGACAAATGTAGAGAATGAAAATAATGTAACATCAGCTTATGCCATTGAATTACGTTATTATTACAGGTCCGAACTATTGAATGTCAGTGCATTAAGTTATTACTTATAATATAGAAAAGTTTTCAAATAATCATCGTTTTAAACCTCGCACGAAACTTCAAACTCAGATCAAACACCTGGAAACCACGTGCAACGTGGAAACATTGCCAAACTCGACGCCTGAGAATTCAAGAGACTTCAGCCAGCAAAGGAAGAGAAGAAAGTTGCGTACGAGATACCGATCGCAGTACGAAGACGACAACGAAGCCGGTAGCGTCGCGCGTACAACAACACGGCCGCCGCAAAACGGGGCGTGGCCATTCGGCAATACGGCATCCTGATTTACGCCGTGAGCAAACAGCCGCGCAGCTCCGTGCCTCGGTTATTGTCGGCTCTATAATTTGGGGTTAATTCACTAGGCGGCACTCGAGTTCAGGCGTCAAACCGCAGATCGATAGTTCTGCCCGCGTGCGGGGCTTGTCATGTAAATGTTGCGTGCATAATACCCCGCCTTGCGGCGAGCCAGGATCATTTCCACGGGGCCTCCGGCCAGGTTCCTCGTGTGTGCGTCGCGCCGTGAACGCACCTGGAGCGGCAGGTGGAACCGCTCATCCGGCCCGGCTCCGTGCCATTTCGAAATTCAGCCCGCAGGTAACTCATCACCGCGGCCCGGCCTGCGAATTTGCGGCCGCCGCTCGTCCCGGCGAAGCACGGCATTCGAACGGTGGCTGGATTCCGTGCCCCTTGTCTCGATCGGCAGGGACGCGGACTGTCTTGGCGCGTTGTTCGGCAGTTTTACGGAAGCTATGCTATGTCACCGGTTATTATTCCGTAATTAACCCTTTGAAATCGAGAGGCGACAGTCACCATTTGACGTGGTAAAATTAGAAAATTGAATATTATAGTGGTTACTATGTTATGGGTAATGAAAAGATCTTGAGTAATCGAGAACGAGGAGTAAATGTATTATAGTGGTGGTTATTATTATTATAGACATTGAAAAGGTGGATTTTCAGTAATCGAGAACTAGGTATTGTAGGAAAGAAAAACCGAATTCAGGGGCGTTGGGGATTCGGAGGATGTATTTTGGGGAGCGCGAAAGAAGTTGACACAGTCTACGGTTTCTCAATCTAATCTTTTCAATTTCTAATATAATGGATACTCGGAAAATTTAGTAAGAAAGAGAGAAAATTCGTGGGTTTGTTCTATCCTCAGAGTTAAAATGTTCACGTGTCTGACACGTTATTGTAGGTCAAGAACTCTTTGCACTCCGTTGTCGCCATTGTGGCATGTGAAATCCTGTGGCATTCAACGTGTTAATAAAATATAATCATTTTATTATACAAAGAATATTTTGCACTTTGTTTCCATATTAAATCGATTATCATCTATATTCCTTTCGCAAAATTCTAAGCGATGGCCGGTACGTTTAGCCTTGAAACAAGAGTACAGTTGCACAGGAGATGGCCTCCTGAATGGCACGGGGGCAAATGGGATTTGGTATGTGGTTTGCTGACAGTTTTGATTGGTTACGTGTGATCGCATTAACGAATACCAAGTTAGTATCGGATATGGAGATGAGATTGAAATTGAAAATGAAATTATAATGTCAATATGAAATCTCGGGAGTTCAAGTTGTAGACTCTACCGCTGCGCCCATAAGTTCTCAATGTCCCCTATGCTATTAGCCACTGGCCTTTGAAATTGCGTACCGTAGAAATCGATTGAACGACCGGTACAAACTGTCAATAGCTCATTAAGAAACTGTCGACTGAAGCAGAGTGTGAAATACGCGAGGCACGGGTAACCGTTGTGCGCACGAGTACAATTACGAACGGAAAATTCAAAGGAAATCAACTTATATAATTGTCCTTTTCAATGATTAGGCGTTGAACAGTTTTCTCTCGCAGAATTAAATGCTTAACCGTTCGAGTCCCAAGCGGATGGCGCTTCTCTGTTGCATTGTCGAAAAATGGCAGTCTATCGGTTCGTAGAATCTCCTAATTTTCCTTCTAATTATTCATTTTTATTTTTGTCATTGCCCGCCTAAAACTGGAAGAATCTAACGATCGCACTGTTTAAAATTTTTCGTCGAAATAGAAAAGCATCGTTCAGTTTCGAAATCGAAAGGAAGCGCGGTCGCGCCGCTTGGCATTTTTCGGCCGGGTTTTCGCAAAAACCCATGGGAACGGTTAACAAAAATAACCTTTCGCGTTACTTCTCTCGGCAAGGTATATAAACGAGGATGCTGCAGGTAGATCGCATTTTGGAACAGCTCTCTCGTTTCCGCTCTGCGAGGGAACTAATCGCGATAACATTGCGCGCAATCCTCTGCAACGAGTCTACGCGAATAACTGGGCGCGTTTACCTGCTTATGGCATGCGGCCACGCACCGTCGAATTATTTCGAAATCTCGATAGATATCGAGCGAATTCCAGCGAGATCGATTTCACCGGTGAAATAGAAACAGTGTCTGTTCACTGTAACGTTATCAAATGCGTCATTTCACCCTACGTCACTAATCTCTCGTCGAAATAACTACCATACCTAGTTCCATCCACGAAACAAGTGTCTATTGAACGAAGTTTAATGATCTATAGCTAATTTCTAATACACGGTTGGACTAATTCCTTAACCGTTTGGCTGCTGACGGATCTTTTCGGACATGTGCCGAAACTGGAAAAAATGGAAAACACTTATCATACAATAAACTCACTTATATTGCATTGTAACGACAACATTTTTTTAAAATACCATTTATTTAACATGTTCCGCGCCAGGGAAATTTCGGTCATATTTTGCTTATGAACTGTACTAATTTTTTAAATACAATATTAAGTTATATTCAAGTTTTTCAAAAATTTTATATATTTTGATATCGTTTCTTGATGTTTTCGGTGCTTTGTAACGTATACAGCTAATCTTGACCATATGTTCCTTAAAAATATTTTGTTACAGAAATTTCGGTCATATTTTGCTTATGAACTATACTGATTTTTTAAATAAAATATTAAGTTATTCAAGTTCTTTTTTAATTTTATATATTTTGATATCGTTTCTTGATGTTTTAGATGTTTTGTAACGTATACAGCTATTCATGACCATGTGTCCCTTAAAAATATTTTGTTACAAAAATTAACGCGTACACGTGGTACACGTGGCACTGAACGTGTTAACAGGTTAAGTTTAAAGGAGATAGTTTAAGGAATTCGATTTCAATTAGCTCGAGGAAAGAGCACGAGCGAAAAGATTGAACGACAATTCTAATGAGTCGGTCGGTGAACGCGTGTGTTGCAGACGCAGCGCCGCAGCTACTCCATAAATTCATCGAACACACCATGCAGCAGGGCCCCACGGTCTCCCTGAAGTGCGTCGCCACAGGAAACCCGACGCCGCACTTCTCTTGGTCCCTGGACGGATTTCCTCTACCGCAGAACGACAGGTACGGAGACTCCTTTCCACCCCTTGTTCCGCTGGCGAGGTCTGTTAACACATAAAACGCCGATGGAGTATTAACCCCGGAACCCTAAGGGACGGGGAAGTTCGACGAACTGGCACCTTAGCAGTTCCACGTTTAACTTTCCGCGATACGGTGTGGGTATGAACTTGCCATCCAATCTCGTTTCAATTAGTAGGCACTTTCGCGCACTTCTAATCTCGCGTTTCTCGCAATTGAAAAATAATCATCCCTCTAAGAACGAGCTACGACATTGCCACTTTCACACTAAAACTACCGAGCCAATTGACTTCTTGAAATTTCTCTATGGAAACTCGAAGAGGGCATCTGTTCAGACTTTGATCCCTTGGCCTATGATTTCTTTTACAACTCTGATCGATATGGCCACTTTGTCACTAATAATTTATTTAAAAATAGAAAAATTCCAAGCATATGTTACGCCTATATTACCTTCTAAGTATAATAGTTGATTGCAGAGGAATAATATTTACTTTGCATTCGAATGAACTGAGTAATATATATTTGTTGAATCATGTTGAAAATCTTCACGACGAGTCTCACTCGTTGTAGGACAAGGGGTTAATTGTAACAGTTTCTTTAATAGTTTCCAAGAGAAACTTTTGTTGGATTTTTAATAACTGCAGAAGGAGTCAAGAAGCAGTCTGGTAGTTTTAGGGTTAAACAAGTATCCAACACCGTATCGATAGAGAATAACGGAAATTTCAATGAAATTTCGGATAATTACAAAGAATCGTAAATGTCAAGTCACGAGAAGGTTGATTATTGCACAAAAGAAATTGTTCTGTTATTCTTGGTAATTAGATGAAGGTTTCATCGATTTCATTCGATATAATATATTCAGTCATTAACTGCTCCGGATTATCGAGATCCTCCTCCTCTAAATGGAGTGTAACAAATTTGCAGTGCATTAAATGACGCATGAATTCAATGTTAATGCCCTTTAAATGTCGACAATGCTAATCGCGTAAGGTAGAGCGATTTCCAGAAGCGAACAACGCGGAACGTTCGTCGAGCAGCTTTTTTGTGTAAAGAATTAGAAGAACGCTGCAAAGGTCCCGGACAGGGGAATCCTCTTCGATCCCTGGGAAACGTTGCCACCCTCGGAAATCGATGGATGGTGTATACACAATTATTTTCGGTTATTAAACCGCGGGTATTACGATCGTCAGAAAATCAGACCGGCTTCCCTGGCTATAACGCGGCTCCCGTGGGAACGGATATCTCCCCGCGGGCTTCGATTCTCTGAACCAATTGAGGGGAAAATTACCAATCAACCGGGCTCAGTCTAAACTTTTTAGAGCCGCTCGATTTAGAATGATCGCGTGTATGCCATTTGCTAATGCCATCGGATTTCTGATTACCGGACTGCGGACTTTTCGCCGGACTCCATGATTTTCATGCGAATTCAAATCTTTTGGAATGTAATTGGAAAAATATCGTTACCATGGGAAATAGTTCTTCGTGGCGGATGTTATAAGAGCACTATGCTTTGGATGTTTTATGTAAGTAATTGGGATGTTTGGAAATGTGACTGGAGAAGTAGAATTAGGATGGAGAATAGTTTTTTCTAGGAAAGTTTTATTATCTAGATTTATTACACAAATAAGTTTGGATATTTTATAGAAGTAACTGGGGAACAGTATTACGATGGAAAATAGTTTTTAATGATAAATATTATAAAAGATATTATGTCTTGGATGTTTTATGCAAGTAATTAGGATACTTGGAAACGTAATTGGAGAAATAGAATTAGGGTGGAAAATCGTTCTTTCTAAGAAATATTATAAAAAGCATTATATCTTGGATATTTTATATAAGTAATTGGAACGTTTAAAAATATAATTAGAAGAATAGAATCACGACAGAAATTAATTCTTCGGAACGAATATCCTAAAACGCATTATACCTTGGATAATTACATATTTTTTTACGTGCATAAAAATCCGCAGTCCGCTGATACGCACTCTTTTTCTTTATCTGCTTCTTTCCAATGAAGTTTTATTGTGCAGTAAACTTTCACCGCATAATGGGGAAAAAATGAAGAAGCATTGCGTTATGTATTCCGGGCAACGTTTACGGTCGTTGCATTGCAATAACCTGGCGAACGAAAACTTGCATAATACGCCGTATAAATATTTTTACGGGCACTTATCGCGGATGTTTGAAGATGTTCCGCCGCGAGCAGGGAAAAGGGAACGGAAAAGCACAAGAAAATTGGGAGGACAGTTATAATTGGATTCCGGTAGACAGGATTATTGCTGAAATTAATTGCGTCCTGAAAAGGATCCTCGAGTAGCATCGTAACTCACAGTGAAGAACGCAGGAAAACCGTGCCCTGTAATTAGTAGTTGAAGCGCGAGTAATTTGAAAACAACATTCCTCCCTTCAAATTTCCTCATTGAGAAAACTCCATCCGAATCTCCCGCTTTCTTCACAGAACCAACTAATAATTCGCAAAACTGATATAAAATTCCTCTACGTACAACAACGAGCGAAGGAAATCTAAAACGGTTATTTTATTTGCTCCCATGTTGGAAACGGTCAAGCGTCATTTCCTATTGGCAGTTAGCCAGGCGCAAATGCGTTCGTCAAACCTGCGGACCCCTTCAAAAGCGAGATTCCAAACGAAAAATCTTCATTCCGCATACTTCACTTACTTTTCCGCGTAGAATAACATCCTACTATTACATTCCACCGTACCCGACCGAGTCGAGCTGCTAAACACACGCGTCCTCGACGTTCAATCTCGAATCTCGGAGAAAGAAGTCGAAACCCACAAAATTTACTCTACATTCCATTCATTCCCTCGCGCGGAATCGCTCGCTTCCAATTGCGCCTCCTCTTGCATAACGCCATGACCGTTTCACGGAATCTTTAGAACTTCCGGCGAGGAGCCTCGGAAAGGAAAGATCAAAAGATATCGGAGGTGAATTCCGTTCCAGGAGGCACGCAAGCCGAGCGAGAGGAGACGAGCGAATAGGAAAGAAGGTAGCAGGACGTCCCGTCAATATTGCAGGAGAACGAGAATTTTATTTGAAACAGTATAATTATTTCGTGACAACTTATAATAAAACAGTCCACAAATTTAAACGACTAATTTAAATTTAATTTAAACACACTATTTATACACTTAGATGCTCTTGTCTCACTCGCACACCTAGAACATTCTTTCATTACAGTGCATTAACTTCACGTATATTTCGAATATTCTAGATTCATAAAAAACGAACATTATTAATGTTTGCAATTACATTGTAATTTCCACTCTTCCATTTGGCGACTGAATTCTCGAAATTGATAAAAATATTGGAACGATCAATAAGTGAATTCTCAACTATATGGCAATATTTTCTAACCCTTTGCACTCCGTTGTCGCCGTAGCGACATTGCAAGATAAGTTTATAACTTCGTTTTTAGTTAAACATAACTTTAAAATGTACACGCGCCTTTTTAATGACAAAGCAGGGTCTTAAATCTTTTACACAGGGACGCTCGTAGCTGATAGCTCATATTAAAACTGTTTCGGAGTTGCTGAAAGGTTATATTAAAAATTGTTCGGAGTGCAAAGGGCTAATTACCGAACCATTTGACGAGCCACTCTTCAGCCACTCGAGATTTTCTAAACGCAGTCACACTATTTTCCAAACATCCCGGCGCAATACGACCTGGTCGCCCTTACGCACGCACAACAAACCATTGATCCTACAATAAATATTCTAGATACTACATTAATATAGAGAAAATCAATTTAGTCTAATATTCCAATGCGTTAAACATTCATCTATTGCACACACATTCATTACTCATCAATACATCTATTCCCACGATATCCATGAGAAATTGCCTCGACTGGGATATTCTTCGTGAGACTGGTGATAAATTTTTCCATTAGCGGAGCTCGCCGGTGGTTTATTCGCGCGACGTCCGAAAGAAAGTTCGACCGTGATGTTCTGCTTCCCGTGGAAACTATCGGCGCGCGATGTAAACGGGTTGCTCGATGCTTGCTCGCAGGTTTATGATAGGGCAGTATGTGACGGTGCACGGCGAGGTAATATCGCACGTGAACATAAGCGCGGTGCGCGTCGAGGACGGCGGGGAGTACCGGTGCTCGGCGTCGAATCGGGTGGCGAAGGTCCACCATTCCGCCCGTCTCAACATTTACGGGCATCCCCACGTACGACCGATGGGGAACTACGCCGCGGTGGCCGGAGAGACCACCGTCATCAAATGCCCGGTCGCTGGTTTCCCGATCACGAGCATCACCTGGGAGAAAGGTCAGTGATCGCGCGACACGACGGACGTCGTGTTAATGTTTGCACTCGAGAGGTGACTCTCGGTCGCCGCTTGATTTGACACGGTAAAATTATAGAATGTATTTAATGTTGAACTCTGTGTAATGCCTCGATACGTGAAACATTGGAATAAAACAGCTTTGTTCCTCAATGTACTGGTGATTTCCCTTCGAATTAGTCTCGAAGAACATCGTCTTTGCCTTGTAAAGAAATGTTAAATATTTCTAGTAAGAAACATCCGAGTGCAAAGGGTTAACACATTGCGTACCGACTAATTTTCAGAAAACTGAATCGTGACGGCAATTTTCACTGAGGACAACTTATATCGTTATACACAGAGAAACTCAGATATCATATTGTTGTGTAATATATTTTAAATAGATAATCAATTCGACTGCAACCAATTTTTATAGTATTCCTAGCGAAAATTAGAAATGCTATAACATCTTCGATCTTTTATTTTCCTTAGCACAAAATTTGGATGTGCGGAAAATCGAATAATTTTAGGGTAGTTTCTTTGAGGTTCATTAAAATATTTAATATTATAACTGGTGCAATATTGGAGTCTACAGAGTTTGAAAGGTTAATTTTTATATTTTTTCAATGCTCTGGTAATTAGCGAAGTTGCTTAGCTAAGTGTCTTTATAGAAAAACAAGATTTCTCGTTACCGGTGCGCAATGTGTTAACCCTTCCCGCTTCGAATTCCTTTCGCGATATTTTCTTGATGACTGTGTTACTGTGATTTTTCATTTAAAATGCATTTTGAATATTTCATAGAGATGTAGACAATCCTTTTTAGTAATTATAGAAAGTATACTTTTGTATGTCCTCGTTTCCTGGTTAGGTTTATCTATGGAGAAACAAGAATTATACAATGTTGAATTAGAACGTAATGACATCTACCGGAGCAACACGATTCACCTGCTTTACGAGTAATAAATTTCAGCAGTAGGTTTATGGGCGTTGATTCTATGGTTTATCGTATTGATTCCGCAAGAATGGCCACATTGTACGGAGTGTACAGTGCTACTTGGTCAGGTTATAACTCAAGGATGGTGAAAGATAATGGAAAATCTTATTAAGAAGCAACAAATGATTTCCTACGATGCATCGTGCTATTTTTCACACATTCACGTCAAATCATCAGAAAATTAATCAAAATCCTTTCGAATTACGCTAATTCTCACTATCAATTCCCAAACAGCAACAGCAAGTACAATCACGAACCAATAGATCATCACTAAAACCTTACGAGCTTGCTCAGTTATAATATTCCACTAAAAACGGAATGAAATCAAATCCCCGCACAAAAGAAAGACGATCACCCTATGAAATTTATTCCCAGCTTTCCATTATCGCCGCGAAACATCTCCGGTCTCGTTCAGCCGCGGCATCCACGCAGTTCCCGGCGATCCCATTATCGCAGCGCGTTATTCAGGCATCAAACATTTTTCCCGAGCATTCAGTCCGCCCGGTCGACCCTATTACTCGCGGAGTCTCTGATATCCACGCGGGCGCGGCTAGATTCGCTCGCCGCGCCGGCGTTTAAATAGAAAAGCGCGGCGGTGTCTAAAGAACAGGTAAATAAGTTACCGTCAGCGGGCAGTTTCCCTCGTAAATCTCCCCGCCAAGGAGACGAATGAAATTTCAGAGAAACTGAAAGTACCGACGGTTTTTCGAGCGGTCCAAATGAACTTTTTTCCCCGAGCGGAACCGTGGGAAGAGCGCCGGCCGCGAGCGGGGAGGGAGAAAAGCGACGCGGAGATCGTCGGTTTTATTTCTCCGGCGAGGGAAGTTCGTGCCTCCGCCCCCCCCTTCCCGCCGCCTTTCCCCCCGTTTCCTTTCTCTTCGCCGGTTGCCGCCACCCTCCCCCGCTGGCGCCGAGAAGCGGCGAGAAGTTGGAGCGTTTTCTTTTTCCGGTAATGATGAACCGAACTACTGGAAAAGTTTCAAACGGTGCCGTAACTTTCTCCCTTTTACGAGCGTTGTAGCATGACGGCGTGCGCGCAATACCGTTCCCGGTGACACTTTCAAAGTCGACCCGGGGACTACGAAAAGCGGATTGAAAACTCGGCACCGTCGGCCGCGACGCCGCGACACCCGACCGGCTCGATGGCCGGGAACCGCGATTCACCGGGCTACGCAAACAAACCGGCGCTGACGATATTTATCGCGTTCGGCGCGCCCATTACGGGCTATTAAATTTTCATCGCGACGAGGCTTCGCTAATTGTTACTTGTGCATCGGGCATCTGTGCTTCGAGGCGAGCCGCTCGGATTTGGAGAGGATGATGCTTGGAATGTCTTGGGAAACGTTGGTTTTGTTTTTGGGCTTGATTGTTTCGTGCTGGGTGTTTATTAACCCTTTGCACTCGAAAGATTTTTAATGGAAATGTTCGAGAGTTTTTGACAGTATATAGGTGATATTGTTTGAAACTAATTTAACGATAATTCACAGATAAGCAACTTTGTTTTATTTCAATATTTCACGTAACAATTTAATTTAAAATATGAAATGTGAAACTTTAGTTTTGTTGTATCGAATCAAGTGGTGACTGAGAGTCATCTCTCGAGTGAAAGAGTTAACGCTGGAATTACCGGAGGTCAAAAATATTCGTGATTGCTTTGAGAATTATTAAAAATATAAAGGATTATTGGAGAAATTGCTGTAGAAATTGATTCAGCGATAGAAATGAATCAATAGAAATTTTAGTAGTACTGTTGAAGTTTGTACTAAAATAAGTAGTATGAGTATGTTTATGGTCAGACGAGTAGTAGGGTTTAGATTGCTGTGCAAGTGGTGTTATAGAAATTGGCCAGACCAGAGGAATGACAATCACTGTAGTTATTCAAGTAGTACAGGTCGATCATTGATCATACATGGTGCAATGGTTTTTATCAACGAAGTGGTGAAACAAGGTTTGATATGCTTCAAGTTTTGTAAAATTAATGAAGATAATAATATTCAGAATTTAATTAAAGTATGTTTTAGGATGAATTGTTTCTATATATTCTGCGTTTGAATTTCCGAACGTGCCGGATATCAAATACGAACCTCTGTGCAATCAATTGGTCAAAACCATTTAATAATGTCTGAATAATTAGTGATTATTATTGGACTAGCCGCGGGTTTAAAGTATTTATACGATTAACACGATGTTATGGTATGTAATGGTATTAGATTCTCCAATTATTTTAAGGAGATTAGCTAGATACACTATCAAATTGTTTTGCACAATTGATTGCACAAAGTATCGCGCATGATATCGACCGCGTTTTGAAATTCCTGTTATGAAATCATCGGAGAATAGAATGTCAATTCTGATTATTTCCACGTTCACAAAAAGACGTACGAACGTATACACGAGCGCTCATCGAGATATATATTCAATCAACGCGCGATTCATTGTTCGCGCACCGAATAAATTTTCAAAGTGAATTTACTAAAGAACGAAATATTCAATAATACAGTTTGGATCTATATTTTCAGTTTATTTTTACACTTGCAGCCAAATACCATTCAGCGGTACTACGTTATGCACGTCACTCTTCATACTCATCATGGTACATTAGATATTGATTTACGGAAGGTCGACGGTCTTTCATAAAAATAGTGGTCCATTTTGTGGGCGATAGAGAATTTGAACGTTTGAAACTTTTAACGTTTAAGCATTTGAAATTTTGATACCTGAACAGTTGAGTATTTGAAACTTTAAAAGTTTACAGGTTTGGAAATTTGAGCATTTGAAACTTCAAAAGTTTACAGGTTTGGAAATTTGAGTATTTGAAACTTTATGAGTTTACAGATTTGAAAATTTGAGTATTTGAAACTTTAAGAGTTTACAGATTTGAAAATTTGAGTATTTGAAACTTCAAAAGTTTACAGATTTGAAACTTTAATAGTTTACAAATTTGAAACTTCAAAAGTTTACAGATTTGAAACTTTCGAAGTTTACAAATTTGAAAATTTAAAAGTTTACAAATTTGAAAATTTAAAACTTTGAAACTTTACAAATTTGGAAAATTAAAACTTTGAAGCTTTGAAACTTTGAAACTTTACAAATTTGAAAATTTAAAACTCTGAAACTTTACAAATTTGAAAAATTAAAACTTTGAAGCTTTGAAACTTTGAAACTTTACAAATTTGAGAATTTAAAACTTTGAAACTTCACAAACTTTAAACCTAGAAACACCGAAGCCTCGAAAGTTCAAACATCCGAAACTTCCAAATAAAAAAATTGCTAAATCTAAAAACTTGAAAATGCTCATAAACCCCCAAAAAATACTCTTCCAGTTCTCTAAAACGCAGCAGCCTTAACATTATCTTTCGTTCCGAAAGTCCCCTACCCAACGCTCCCCAACCAAAATAATCTAACTAACAAACCTCTTATTTCTGTAACATAGACGGTAAGATCCTGCCGACCAGCCGCCGGCAGCAGGTGTCTAACGGCACTCTGGTGCTGCACAGCGTGGACAGCAGCACCGATCGCGGTGCTTACACCTGCACCGCGATGAACAGCCAGGGTATCTCGGACTCTCAGACGATAAACATCGAAGTGAAAGGTAACGTTTCACGTTCCCCGCGCGTCCCCCATTCCCCGAAATCTCTTGGCAGCGGTTTCACTCGCTCGGAATTGGAATAACAGCGTGTTCTCGGACGGGCTGCTCGCCTCGGCCGGCGCTAATCCGCTCTGTCAGGATTTCCCGCGTTTCGACAGGCCTGCCACGCCTCGGCGGGCCGCGTCTCCCGCGCCGGCGAATCTCTCCACGACGAAACGCAGCGACGCGGAGCCGTCTTTGCCGGAAGAACTCATTCGAGACGTTACATTCGGCTGGGGACCGCGCGTCAATGTCCCCGGATGCTCGCCGAGACATCTCCGTGTCCTGCGGTGACGTTCGATGCGTTCCCTAATTGTCCCGCGTTCTCTCTTCCCCGTTTTCGGCGAGGAACCTCGATTTTTATACGGATCGCGACTGTTTACGTTCGTTACGCGTCCCGGAGACTTGTCTCTTTTTCCGTTTTCCCTTACCTTTTTTCAATCTTTTTCGCTTCCCGTCGAGTGGAGAGGATTGGACGCGACCACGTCGCGATGTTTGCAAATTGAACCCGCCGCGTATGGACCTGAAAGGTATTTCAACCGATTCGTTTCGCTCGTAATGACTGTCTACTGCTTGTATATGCGGCCATCGGAATTGGTGGTTGAAGTTTCGTATCGTGCTCCACTTTTCGTATAGACGGAATTATTGGACGTCGGGAAACAAATCATTCTAATAGTAATACGATTCATCTATGAACGAGAAGTCCAATAATTCCGAATGTTGGACTTCGTATGATACCTCGATACGTGAAATATTGGAATAAAATAGCTTTGTTCCTCAATTCTTCAAATTAGTCTCGAAGAATATCGTCTTCGCCTCGTCAAGAAATGTTCAATATTTCTCGCAACAAATTTCCGAGTGCTTGCAGAGTTAAACGAAATGGTAGTGTTAGAAACTCTACTGGCAATCTAGTGAATGTATTCAAAGAAAGATTCTTCGGACGAACGGTTGCACTGTTCTTTGTTCTTAAGAATAATAGAATACTGCGCGAAAGTTCGACGATCCGTTCCAGTATCGCCGTATGTATGGACACCGCGTACACGGGCCGGCGAAAATCGGAACACTTCCCTTTGGAAATCGAAGCGGGTTAGCGTCCGGCCGTGTCCGTAACCCGACACTCGCGCGCCGCGAGATAGTCATCGAATTTCGTGTAATTATAGACGATTGTCAATCCGATACACGCTATTGTCCCAAAACAGAGCGGAAACGTAATCGAACGACGATGTCGCCGAGCCGTCAACTGTGTCTATCGATTCGCCCGCGTCCGTCGTCGCGGCGACGCGCGACGCTGGTGAAAGCCTTTCTTGGATTAATAACGGTTTCAGATCGACGAGTCGCGGCGAATCAAGCCGACGAGTTCCCACAGGTGGGGCACGCGTGTCATCGGCCGAATCGAAATCAGGGCGACTCTTTTGACCGAACGAAAACAACGAGAAACCGCCTGTAACGCGAACGATTTTTCGCACGACTGTTGTGCTCGAGAGTCGAGAGGATAACCGCGTTTCACCGAAACGAGAGAGAGCGAGTGAGAGAGAGGGTGGGGGAGAGAGAGAGAGAGAGAGATGAATAAAACAACGAGTAATCGGTTTAAGGGTACGCGGAACGTTGCAAACGTCACTCGTATCCGAGTCGCGGCGTCGTCCCGCGAGAAAGAGAGGGGACGAAGCGTAGAGAGCCGAGCAAAGAAAAGAACGAGCAATCAAAAACTGCCGGTTCTCGTCTAGCCGAACGGCGAGTCGCGTCGCGTCGCGTCGAACGATAACGATCGATGCGTGCAGCTTTTGTTTCCGTTTCAATCGTTTCCGTTTCGGCCGTCTGGGGGCGGCCAGTCGGTTGCGCTCCGAAACCGGTATCGATCGACGCCCGCGGTCGGATAAAGAAACTTTCTTTCGGCGGTTGCCACGGCCGCGTATCCCGAGACTCTCGGGAGCTGCGGAACGAAGGCGGGAACGAAGCGGAAACGAGACCAGGGGGATGAGCGAGTAAAAGAGAAAAGCGAGAGGACACAGTGAAAGACGGAGGAACGGTTGAGAGAGAAATAAAGATATATATATCGAGGAGATTGTCCGGAGCGGGCGGTAATGAAATAAAATATGTCGTGATTCCTGTAATTTTCAGTACCGCCTAAAATCGATCCGTTTAGCTTTCCTGACAAGATACAAGAAGGCCAGAGGGTGCAGGTGACCTGCGCCGTCAGCAAGGGTGACTCACCGTTGAAGATCACCTGGCTGAAGGACGGGAGACCGGTGGACCCGGCGGAGGCGAAGTTGCACCAGCTCGGCCCGTTCTATCTCGCGTTGCAGATCGAGAGCGCGTCCACGGCGCATAACGGCAACTATACGTGCGTCGCGAGCAACGACGCCGCCGAAACCTCACGCACCGCCACGCTGTTGGTTCACGGTACGCTGGGACCGGCCACGGTCCCCATCCATGGGACAATTTACACGTCCTCGCGGTTTCTCTCGGTTACGTCCACTTACGCGTCGATGACGGTGATGACGGTGGAAGTTACCACCTTTCTTTCCTTTGCTCCTTGTTTCTTGACCTTTTGTTCCTTCGGAGAGAGCTCTGAGACATCGATCGCATCGATGCTGATTGCATTGATTGCTTTTCGTTACTAATTCTCAGTGATACAGACTTTTAGTCCCATAAGATTCAGAAGAGTTAATTTTTGTAATTATAGATACGAGTTTGCTTTAGTTAATAGATGGTATTTAAGAGCGACAGGTCGTGAAGTGATAACGATCGTATATTTAGTGAAAGATTATTTTTAGAAATGAACGTCACAACTTATGGGTCGACTCAATATTTCCAAGAAATTTGAAACTGCAATCCCGCAGAATGCATATATGGGAATACATGTAAAATCTCCAAACTGCTCGTTATAGTTTATTAGGAGAACGATTTTCCAAGGTGACTCCGTTCTTATAATTACATCCTACCGAATTCGCGGAAAGATCCGCCGTCGAGCGGCAGGAACGTTCGCAGTTCCATCATTCCGAAATCCCGATGACAGTTGCATTATTCCAGAAATGAGACTGTTGAAAATTACACGGTACGGGAGCAATCGCCTCATGCGCTCCCGCTAATTGTTCGAGTCGACTAGTTCCACGGTAATCGATCGGCGAGCGCAAAAGCGGCGTGCTTGACAACTGCGCCGGAAAGGCTCGTCAAAGATCGGTTGAAAGAGCGTCTCCTTCAATTCTCCCTCGTTACAGCGGCGAAGAGATTTTCGAGAACACGGATCCAGAAAGGCCACCGTCATCGTTAAAGCCGTGTCATGAACGCGTACAATCACGCCTGGACGGGAATTTCCCGTGGCGCGCGGATAGAAAGAGTGAGAGAGAGAGAAAGATAGAGAGAGAAAGAGAGGGAGAGAGTGAGCGAGAGTACAATCGTCGGAACATTCTCCATTATCCAACAGGATTGAAATAACCTTCCACCCCCGCCCTCCGCCCTTACACGCACACACGACCGCGCGACTCATTCGCCAGACCCCACCTCTACGAAATTTTCTTTACGACCACCACTCCGTGCCACGACGATCTTTCATTTCCAATACACGAGGAGGGAGAGCCAGGTCGGGCGATTCTCTCCGCGGCCAGGCCTCCGTTCGAGGAACAACCGAATGAACGCACCGAACACATAATTTCACGGTGAATTTCGCGACGATTCAGCTGCAGCGGAGCGTGCGCTCCGACGAGCGATCATCCCCGTCGAAAGCGCGAAACCCGCGGCGAACGTAGGATCATCGGAACGAAGGGAAAAGCCGTGCTCGAAGGATCGACGATATTAATCGTCATCGCGCGGGAGGGAAGACCTCTCGACAGTTTGAAACTGCCGGCGCAAAAAAGGTACGCGGAGATCAATCGACGCGCGGCGTTCGTCCTCGGGCGAGGATCCCGCGTCGCGGACGCTCCATTTTTTCCTCCTCCTCCTTTTTCTCTTTTTCCCTTGCAGGCGTCGCTCTTTCCACGCTCGTTTGCATACAATGCGCGAAACCGGCGCGGCGCGAGAGGGTGCA